TGGCATAATTACATGAATTTAAAACTGAGTTAAAACTCACTAAAAAAATTGTTACAGGTTCTATAACTATTTGAGGGTAACGTGCAGGTAAGAATGGAAATATGGAAAGTAAAAATCTGACATTATAACAGGACCTGCTCTGGAGTGTGGTGCCTGAATGGGACTTGTAAGGGCAGTTAAAGAATGGGGTTTGGTATTCCACTATCTGGTTTAGAGCCTGGTTGTATGTCCATAGGAAAGGGCCTGGAGTGAAGATACCTGTGGGGATGAGAAGGAAAAGCTCTCTCCAGCTTCATCAAGGAATTTTTTTTAAGTTGGTAGTTTTTAGCATGGATCCCTAAATTGTATTCCATAAATGGAAACTCTTAAATAATTGCTCTTGAGCATTTTATACAGAGTTAGAAACTACTTGGTGACTGAAGGAATGTGAAACTGCTTCATTAGGCTGAAGGTATCCTAAGGTTGAGGAAGGTTTTAAGTACCAGAACATGAAGCCTCACAAAGTTTGTACTTGGGTTCTTTGCTAAGGTTAGTGAGGCTACTTTTGCCCAACAGAGGGGACCCTTTCCTTGCATGAGGGTGATCCCAGCAGTAGGAAAGACATTCATTTTCTTTCCTTCTTCAGTCTCCCATACACCAATAAAATTTTTGCTGGTTCCACCATAGGAAAACCTGAAGATATTATAAGTGAATCAGCCTTGCAGAAGGGAGGGTTTTCTAAGCCTCAGAACAGAAACTGTTCCATTATATTTAAAACATGAGTTCAGAGGGGCAAATAAAAATTGGTCAAAATTTTAAGGCAGAAGAGGTCATCAAAATTTCTAGACCCTGATTGATATGAAGTCAATTTGTAAAAGTGAAAAATACACAAATGTTCCACATCATGAATAATTAGCAAATGCACTGTAAATAACTTGATGACATAGTTGATTAAAAACTGTTATTAAATTAGCATTTTCCTTTATTTAGTAAATTATTTAGTCTCTTCCTCCTCTGCCCCATATTCCTCTCATAGCAGGAGTCTATAAAATAGACATTCTCATTGTTATGCAGTACAGTTCTTTTGGAAAGCAGAATGTTTAGCAGTATTTTAGCAATAGTGACCCTTTTGATCAGTAATTGAACTGATACTTTTAAAGAAATAATGTTAAATATATGCAAAATGTATTATTGGTTCAGTTTGTAGTAAACTGTTACATGTGCTACTTTAAGACCATTAAAAAGTGACATTAATCCTGAATTTTGATTGATTCTGGGTATAATTTAAAGATTTTAATGCAGATAAAATGTGCTTGCAGTTCTATAATTTAAAAGATTTGATAAACAACCATTAAGTATAGAAAATATATGGGCAAGGACTGGACACAAAGGGAGTTGGCAGTTAATAGCTTATCTTAATACTACATGAAGTTCTTGATAGGGTAATAGAATGTATTGTAGTATAATACAATGAGTATAGTGTAGTGTAATGGAATGGAGCAGAGAAAATTAAACTTATTAATATTTTTAAAGCATTTATTAACTAACGAAAGATTAAGGATATGGCAGGCATTTAAGGCACGTAAGTGAATAATGATGACAGGTTGATTAACTGAATAAGATAATGTAATCAGTATGGTAATGGCTGCAGACCTTTCTCAGAATTTGGTATAGTAATCAGAAATGTAAAGGGAGTGTGTGTAAGGGGTGGATTTTTTAACTAAATAATATCTTAACTGAGGTTTAAATGGAAACTTCAGAGAATCCACATAAACTCATCTAGAAACTCTGTCATTAACTCCTTTCTAGTAAATAGGGTACCTTTACTATATCACTATTTTCTCTTGCATGTTACTTCTACTCATGGGAATACACTTCACTGAATGCCTATGCCTCAGTCTTTGCACTGACAAAAGTTTTGAATTGAGTAACTGCTCTAGCTTCTGTAAGACTGGGAGAAATTGAATTTTTTCCATTGACTTACTTCACCTAGTGATGCATTCAAGACTTCTGCAGACAGTAAGCAGATTTTATGTAAGTGATGCTGGGTTTAAGAACAGAGCAGGTTAAGAATCTTTTTTAAACACCCACATTACTTAATCTAGTAAATCTGTTTTTGTTTTACTTGTTTAAATGGGATTGTTCTTCCAAACAAGTAACAAGGATGTGTTTATCAGTTCTTGATATTTTCATTTTAGGGAAAGGGAGCATGAATATACAGCAGAAAATTCTGTCTTGTTTAGAGCTGTGGAAAAACAACAGTTGCGATGTGTCTGTGTGTACACACATACAACGAGTCATAAATTAAAACCTAAAATTATTTTCTAAACCCCACCCGTTTTGCAAAAACAAGTCAGACATGCTTAAGGAGCATTTGTCCCTAGCAGTTAGTGTCATGTTTTTTCTCTGTACTTTACAGATTCAGCCTTTTTTAAAATTCATTTTTACCTCGTGCAAAATACCATAGCAAGTCAGTTATTTTTCTCGACCTTGTTATCTTAGGCTGTATTTATTATATGGATTCACAAGTTGTTAGGCAAAAACAAAAGAATGGTACTTTTCCTTATTACCTTCAGAGGCCTCTGGGGTTGTACTTTGGGTCAGCGCTGCCACGCACCTGCCATTTGCATCTTCCTCTGTTATTTGTGTAGCAGGTTGATACTGCAGGATCACATCCAGATCATGGAAAAACTTCATAGTTCTAGAGCTGTCTCCAGAATTGTGGGCATATTTAACTGTTCGGTATTCATATTTGAGATTTTTGTACTTTGCCCGGCACTGTTTCCAATCTCTATGTACTCCTAGTGCTTGCAGCCTCTTAGCAATGTAAATAAATATTCCTTTATTTCTCAGGGTTCCATAAAGTTGTTTTCGTATGTTTTTTTCTGCCCAGACATTTAGCAAAGCTTTAACCTCTACTTCAGTCCAGTGCTTTCCTGCTCCACTCTCCATGTTGAAAGTGACCTGGAAATGATTCACTATTTCTAGCCAAGGTTCTGTTTCCTAGGAAACGAGACGGCTGGTTGTCAATAAGCTCAGAAGAGCTGAAAGGATCTAGTTTAACTGGTTCAAGCTGCCTGAGGGGAGTAACTTGAGAAACTGCCAAATGAACAGACTTTGTGATTAAAGAAGCTTGTACCTAAAAGATTCTTTGACATTATTTTGATTTCACCTTTAAGGGAAAATTACCATTAAGACAAAAAGGAAAGGAAATTATTTTTGTAGTGTATCTTTTCTTACATAATACACTCTGGTTTGCCAGTTCATTGTTGCTTTGAAAACACTGTTTTGGAAATCATTGGCAGAGATTCTTCCTGCCTTAATTAAGTTTTATGGTTCACATTAACATTTTTTCCTCCGTCTGATATGAATCAAATGTGTTTTAGCATCCCTTCAAGAGGACATCATTTCACTAAAAAAAGAAATCAGAAGTCATGAATTATTTAGTATTACAGGGTGGATCATGTTATGCATATTTACTTTCAGAGATTTTAAAGATTGTTAATTTAGTAAAATTGTGTCCATTTTTATTTGTTAGATTTTTACTTTGCAGATAGACTTAATGTAGTTTTTCTTGCAATTTAAATGTGTAAACAATCATATTACATAAGTTTGAAAAAGATCTCTTTTACCAAATAAATGAGTGTGTTAATGATTGTGAACATAAATTTCTACCCTGATAAATATCCTTCAGAACTATTAAAAATTGTTAGTCATTGGAACATTGTTGTATCATTTGAATTTATATTACTTAATGGTGTACATCCTTTGTCTTCCCACTAGTTACCCTACCAGCTTCTGTCCAGCTTTTGACTTTCCTTCTGTATCATCTCCTAAAAATACTAGTGCTGGAAGATATAGAGTGCCCAATTAGCTTGGGGTTTTTATAAGCATTATCTTTTTCTGATAGCCAGATATTTGTTGGTGGAAATTTGGAAAGCACCTACAAGCTAAATGCATACATGTCTACATATATACATGTGCATACATAATTTTAATACCCACAACTAAGGTTTTTCACCTGCTATTTTATTTGGGGATTTCATTTATTTAGAGGTCACATAGTACAGAGGTTTAGAAGCCCAAGTTCTGGAGCTTGGGCCGGATTGTCCTTACTGAGCCACCTTGTGACTGGGCAAGATATTTATTTTATTTTATTATAATGATTTTGTTTTTATTTATTATAGTGAGGGTACGTGTTTATTTTTATTTTTTTAAGATTTATTTATTTATGCAAAAAAGAACTGGGGTACAGCCTAGAGGTTTGGGGGGGTGGGGTTGAGAGGATTCAACAGAGGCACTAAATCTGTTACACTGGCCAGGGAGGACCCACATGTTTATTTTTAATAATTGATAAGATACAGGAGACAAAACCTCACTGATAAGCTTATTAATAGCTTCAAGTACAGCAGCAGACTTTTCACAGAAAAGCTGTAAAGGGAAAGATTTTTAACTTCCATTTCTTTAGTGTCCCTTTCTGTAAAATGGAAGTAATAATGTTACAGGGCACCCCAATGTGAACTGGGCTACCTGTCTGTGGGGCCTCACTCGCCCGCTTAAAATTCAGTTGTACTGCAGGCACACACAAATGGGTCAAAATAGGTTTATTTACAAAAGGGGGAAAAGAAAAGGAAACAACAACTGGAATATCTTACCGCTCAGCTGACTTGGAGCTCTGGTAACAAACTACCTGAAAAAGCCGACTCACGCTTTCCAGAGAGCTGATTCTGCGCCAGAGAGAAATGGCGCCCTATTTATCCCCCAAAGTCCCAGAATGCCTGCTTAGCTCCGCCCTTGGATACTCGCAGTTCTCTCCCTGGTACTGCTGGGAGTTGTAGTTTTCAATCACTGAAGTAGGAAGTAGAGACCAGAAAGCCTGAGTAGAGGATGGGTTCCAAAAACTGCACAGTTCCTTTAGGACATCCTTCCCCTTAACAGTAATCAAAGGACCTGCTTCACAAAGTTCATTATAAAACTTAATAGATTAGGATTAACAGGTGTTACCTTTTTTATATTCACAGGGGTCAGGAAAGTGCTGGTATTGTAACCAGTGACGGAAATTCGGTGCCAACATTCAAAACTCACAAGGTATTTTGAACATAGAAAAATGCTGACTTATAAAGTTACCAATAGCCAGATAATAACTGTATGTATAGGTAATATTCAGCAAGGGGGTGGTGGGGAGAGCCTTGAACACATAGTTTGCATTTAGAGTTAATATTCTTTGGGTCAACTATTTCTAGCTTTATATTCTATCATTTGTCTTATTAGGATGCAATTTTCTCCCGGTGATAGTTTGCTAGCTGACTCAAACAAACAATAGCTTAATATTTTCTTTATTTAATACAAGAAATATAGTTTATGTTTGATAAGTTTTATGTTTTACTGAAAAATATCTTCTAAAACAAATGCTTCAAATTGTTAAAATATTATGTCACTGAATTATTCACTTTATAATGGTTTATGAATCTCGTTTAATCTTGTTAATAAATTTTACAGTTAAGTTACTTCTTCTCTCCCAACCCCTCTTTCTACTTAAGGGGATTAGAACATTCTGCAGCACAGAGATACTGTGTAAACTATATGTTCTAATTTGGGATTGCCTGCATAGGGACTTTAAATATAGGAGTTTTACTAGTTGGCATTACTAGTCTATTTTCTCCTAAGATAAGCTTTTATTTTGATTTTGTAAGGGAATGGGTCTTGTAAATCACGTCTTTACGGAAGACAGTTTGAAGAAATTGTATGTTTCAAATCTTGGAATTGGTCACACAAGGTACGCTACTACAGGAAACTGTGAATTAGAAAATTGTCAGCCCTTTGTTGTTGAAACACTTCGCGGGAAAATAGCTGTGGCACATAATGGCGAATTAATAAATGCTGCTCAACTAAGGAAAAAGGTAAGTTTTTTTAATACTTTTATGTGATTGACATGAATTGATGAAGTTACTCAATACCAGTTGAGGATCTTATTAACGGATATTTTTCTAATTGTTGCCACCTGCTATCTAAGTTCAAAGAACAATTTTATCCAGTTACCTGAAATACTTATAATTGTATATTCAAAGATACTGTGCCCATGTTGGGATGGGGAGTCTTGTATCTGTATTTTAATAGACTCCTGAAAAAATGATTTATGGTTGCATTAGCACAGAGAAATGAGGGTCTATAGATTCTTGCTATCCCTTTACCTTTGTCTTATGTTTAGAGTGTAAGAATATAAATCTGAAGATGACAAATTTTTAAAAGTGATTTAAAAATAATGACAAGAAATTGACATGGGGGAGGGGCAAAGAGTTTACTATACTTACTGTATGCTTTTTTGTTCATATGATGTCCTTTGGAGCATTCTGAGTTGACTTGTATCTATGCCTTCACCTATTTTATCTTCTTTTAGGATACAGAAAAGCTATTCGGTGTTTTTATATTCCTTAGAGTTTCTGTTTTTCCATTCTTGCCATTCATTAATGGAAACCAAGTTTTTTTTTTTTAAAATAAACAGGTGGTGTTTCATAAGATAGTTATATACTTATACCACTATGCCCCTGACATTCTAGAATCAGGCATTTTGCATGGGGTAGTTATAAAAGCCTGATAATGGTGAACTGGTAGGTGCAAAATAGAACCACCCATTGCCCTTCTAAATTTGATTAAGTCATAATATCCCAAAAATATAAATAGGAAATCAAAATCACTAAGATACTCACCACCTGGAGACAACTACTAAGAATTCAATTCCAAATAGTACTTAACTTATTGTTTCCAGGCATAAACACAACCAGATGCTAACCTTCACCCCTACACTTTTAGCTGCCTGCTGAAAATGTTCTGGATTATCACTCTATGATGGGTCTGTACATTTCTGTAATCATACTCTTTTTCCTTATACATCTTGCCACAGAATTTTGTAATCACCAGAGTGCATTCAACCAGTTTTTTAGTTGTTCAGTACAGCTTTTTTCTACTCTGTCAGTGATAATCAGTGAAGATGGTAGCTACCATCACTCCACCAACAAACCTGGCTTGAAAGTTCCGGTGATAGTGTAGGTAGGTAGCCATTCTTATAGGAATGTTTTCTATATGTCAGGAAGATCAAGACATACACAGAACCACAAATTCTCATGCCTTCTTCACTATTTTCTCCACTGCATGTCTACATTCCTTCAGTTTTCAAAAACTTCTTTATACCTTCCAAAACACATTTTTCCCTCTGTTTCAGAATATTCGAGAAATTTCCACTGCTTCCAGTCATGGTTCTTTATTATTATACACACATACCACTAGTAGAATACAGAGTTTTCGTGACTGAACATCCATATCAGAATTCTGTTGTGGTCGGATGTGGGGTGAAGTGGAGCTTCTTTACTAATGATTAAACTTTTTTCTCTTCTGAATAGCTCCTGGGTCGTGGTATTGGTCTGTCGACAAGTTCTGATAGCGAAATGATTACTCAGTTACTGGCATATACTCCTCCTCAGGAACAAGATGATACCCCAGACTGGGTAGCAAGGTAATTGTAAAACTAGGCAAAACTTGCAGCTCTAGTAATGTGTTTGTAACTGAAATTGATTTAATGATCTCATTAATTCCAGGATTAAAAACTTAATGAATGAAGCTCCCACAGCATACTCCCTGCTTATAATGCACAGAGATGTTATCTACGCAGTACGAGATCCTTATGGAAATCGCCCTTTATGCATTGGTCGTCTTATTCCTGTTTCTGATATAAATGTTAAAGGTAAAGAGCTTCAGAAAGAATTAAGTTCGTAATGCTTTTTTGGTCACCCTCTTGCTGCTGGCACACGCTGAGTCTTTTAGATAAAGAAATTTTGTGAGAAGGAGCTAAGTAAAATAGGAAAAAAAATACTTCTTAGATTTTAAAGTAGAGTTCCTTGAAAATCTGAGAATGACCCACTTTTAATATACGTATGGACACCCCTGTTTATTCCTGTTTGAGTTAGTTATTGATATCTTTTGTTCAACCTTTTCATTTCCTCGTTGTGGTTTTAGTGATTTTCTTTTGATTTGTCGAGTACTTACTTGGAATGAAGTTATAACATTTGATGGAATCTTGGGATCATTCGTTTTATCTTCCCTGTATATCAAATAAGGATCCATGTGTTTGTAAAATCATAGAAGTAGATATTCTGTAGATTTTTGAATTCATGTATTTGGTGTTTTATTGTTCTTTGAAATAAGTAGATGCCTACATTTTCTCAAATCCACTAATGGAATTGATCGTCTTGTAATCTGCAGAGAAGAAATCCTCAGAAACTGAAGGATGGGTGGTATCATCAGAGTCTTGTAGTTTTTTATCTATTGGTGCAAGGTAAGTTTTATCTCATTTGGCATATTAACTTTTTGAGCATTCATTAAAATTTTCTTTTGATTTCTACATGAAAGCTTTCTTCTGTCAACAGGAAGACATTTACAGATGTATTTTGTTAAGCATATTGTACTTAACAGTTACCCTCAACTTTAGCTTTAGCATTGTGTTCCTGTAATGCTTTGTAATTCTGAAACTGGCATCTTGCTATCTTCTTTTCCTTTTAATATTTATTTATTTAGTAGAAGAACTGGGGTACAGGCCAGAGGTGCTGGTGATAAGAGGATTCACTAGAGACAGAGTGGGGAGGAGAACAGGGGGATTTACTGAAATACACACCAGGGAACAGCAGGTAGGACAGGAGAGGTCTGCTGTGTGCAATAGCTGGTCAGCTTCTTGGCCAGGGATTGCCTTAGGCCATAGCAGTGATAGCAATGAAACTTAAACCCTCAGCCACACATCTTATTCAAAGAAATTACTATTGGAAGAATTTTTTTTTTTTTAGGCCTCTCTACGCTTTATATTTTTCCTCTATAAGGGAGTGTTCATACTTGTGTATCTTAACAATAGATATTATCATCCAAAGGACTGATTTATTTAAAGTTTTTTTTTCTTCAACATTGTTTCTCAAGATATTTCCGTGAAGTCTTGCCTGGAGAAATTGTGGAAATATCCAGACGTGGTGTCAAAACTCTTGATACTATACCAAGGCCTGAAGGAAACCCAATGGCTTTTTGTATCTTTGAGTATGTTTATTTTGCAAGACCAGATAGCATATTTCAAAGTAAGTTAAATTTATTTTCTTTAGATACTGATATATCTCTCTTACTTATTACAACAGCACTTTGTGGTCCAAAGACTTATTTGGCTTCTGAAGGCACACACTTGTATGTTGAGGGTAATTGGACTGAGCCTCAAGTCAATAGATCATTCTTTTTCCTTTTCATCTGACTCTTGGACTTTGCTTTTCTTTTAGGAATAAGAATTATGATTTTCAGATCAATTTTTTTACTAGTGAATTTCCCAGTTTATGTTCCCACTAGTGTTTTTGTATGTCTTATTTTTTTTTTTT